GAACATGTTCCAAGTCGATACACCTCATCTTGGTCAAGCAGTATTTACGTTGCTTATAGATGACAGCTGGGACTCAACTCTTATCTGTCCTCTTGAAACAGTAGTAATGGCTTGGGCCAACAGGTGTCAACTTCCAGCACTGGATCTGAGAATCATTCAGTGCCAGCACTAATCAATGGGAAACTGTTAATGTGGCTTTTGATGCTTCAGGGGCCTTTAAAATTGTGCTCTTTTTTTGACTCTTTACAAAAAAAAAAAACATGATGATTGGCAAGTGGGGAAAAAAATAATCCTTCTTCCAAACGATGAGGCGTTTGTCGTCCACAACAACCCCCTGGTTGCTACAACATGAGGCGGTGATTTGTAGCTTTCTTGGGTGCGAGTGACAGGAGAAGGGAGGAATGTTGTTAGAATGGCCGTCAAACTCAAAGATAGTACTTAGCGACAACAGCTGGAGCGGCGGAGGCGAGCTTTTCCTGCAGTATCCTGGGGGCGTCGTCACTCAGCGGCCTGCGAGTCCTGGACACATCGCTTTTTCACTCCCATAAATCAAGGAGGAAAGCGATTGCACCAGTGTTAGACTTGCTTGCAAAAGTGCCCTTCATACCCAGCTTAACCCTGTGAGGCTGATCGCAGTCGCTGCTCAGAACTTCAGGCCCTTTAAAGACCTGAACACCTTGTTAAATAAATAATTGCAGTTTCCTGGAATCTAATGACAGCCATTCAGCCAAGTAACAGCCAAATAACCTGTTTGACTCTTGACTTTTGTTACTTGGTTAAGTTACACTTAAGCAGAGCTGAACTGCTCTGTGAAGTCCGGGCTGTTCATTACAGAATTAGGTACACAGCCTTAGACAGTCAGTAAACACTGTACAGTGGGTTAAAAATGAAAGAACTTTCGAGAGTTTTATTGTCATATGCACAGTAAAACAGGAGGTCACGCAGTGCAATGAAATTCTAACTTTGCTAATCCTCTTTTCACAAAAAAACATAAAGGTGAAATAGAGGTAGACATTAACAAGTAAACTTGGTAGTTAAAATGCCAAAACATCAGCCATCCGGGTTTTTATATCAGTCAGGTAATCAGCCATTGCAGAAGATGGCAGCATGTTTAAATGTTTATTATGCATGTATATTTGAGGATCGTCAACATAGCATCGCCTTCAGTTCCATTGCTATCTCATGTTATCAAGTCGATAATAAAAAGTAGCAGGTCTGAGCCCTGGGTAACACCATGTGAGGGGCTAGATAGGTCAGACCTAAACCTAGAGACAAATTGCTCTCCATCAGTGAGATGATATCCAGTTTTCAGGTTAGCGCAAATAATGTAGTATTCATTTAGTAGCTATATAGACTGCAATGCAAACTGGCCGAGCTATTCTTAACTTATAGACGTGTGTAATAGTAGTTTGGACCCGTTGGTGACTCTGGGCTTTTTAAATGGTTTTAACGCTGTTAGTGAAGTAAAACAACTACATAAATTATTGCCAATGTACTGCAAGCATTATTCTTTATTCCGTGCAGTAATACACTACATGCACGTTATTAAATGTTCTTTACTTAGCATGTGTATTCAACAGTCTTTAAATAGATCACGTGAACAGACAGTAATCTTGCTGCGAGACGTCATCTTTCAAAATCTGGCCCAAAGCCGTAATAAACATGCTAGGTGTGCTGTTTTCTATAGATTTAAAAGGAGATGCAGTTTTCAATCTCCATGGATGTGTTTTAGAAGTCCTCAGCTCATTACTTTTTCTGCTGTCTGTCTATTTTTCTATTAGCTCAGGCCACAGACTAAACATTTTCAAACACAGCCAACTCCAGCCAGTGGCTTTCAGACTAACACATTCTCTCAATGTTCTCTCTCTGTCTAGGTCTGACTCACTCTCTCTCTCTCACTCTCTCTCTCTCTCTCTCTCTCTCTCTCTCTCTCTCTCTCTCTCTCTCTCTCCCCCTGCATTGCTGAAAAACAAATTTCCAGCATCTCTCCAGTGTGGTTTTCAGAGTGACATAAATACGAAGAACAAACAAATGTTCCATTTGAGAGAAGAAGGGGAAAAAACCTGGGCTAGTAACATGGCAGAGCTAAAGTGAAATAAATCAGCCATGCTTGGAGGCTTCACTATGTGATGTAGTTTGTTTGTTCCACCTTTTTTAGCTTTGGCTCGGTACTGTCAAAGTCTCCGTGACCTGAGCAGCCAGGTGAGGCCATTTGGTGCAGGATAGAGCTGTAGTGGAAAAAGCTTTAGGAGTACTGGGCACGCTCTGTCCGGCTGGTTTGTGACATCAGTGCCAGGGCCGTCTGCGTTTGGAGATTTTTGCACTGGCGTATTAATGCTTCTAGACAGCGGTGTCAACAAAGCTGCCCCGCCATTACCGACTCTTCCAATTCCAAAAAAATGAAGCATGTGTAGAATGCATGGTGTTTACATTTCGGACCCTGTTTTTAAATGCTACGGTTGGTGCTTTGGGAGCGCATCTGAGAAGATGTGATATATAAATGTCACCTTCTCGATACATACTGAGACTTCTAGAGAGAGGCCCAAGATGCAACCAAGGTTCAAGGCCTAGCAGAGTTTGTTATGGCTGCCAGTTGTCAGCACTTAATGGAATTAGTTCACTCTGGCCTTCAGTTAAATATTTAAAGAAAAGATGTGCAGAGGTTGCATCATTTTGGGTACGATAAAATGGCCTGCTTCTCATTTGTAGCCTCCTAAAATACTGCATCCTGTCAAGCAAAGCTCCTTCCTTTACAGCCTGAGCCAGGTTTTATTTGTCTGCAGTGGTTCTGACAGTAACTTGGTCACTTCTTCCATCTGTTTTCCACTCTCTCTGATCTGGTTTTGATATGTCCCGCTGTAGGACACTTCTGATAGTCCTTAACAGCAGCAATCATCAGTCTACTTCTTTTAGTTCAATCCCCAAAGCTGTAAGAGTTGCTTTTCCATTTAAGACACTCTGCCCTGAGGTATCGTTTCCAAGAGCTCATGTTTAGCTTCAAGGCTACACTGAAGAATCCAGCATAGTTTTCTCTGTTTTCTAAAAGAACTTTACGTTATTTTGGAAGTCACCAAGCGGTTTCATGGCGCTCCTGAGCCAGTTCTTCCTCAGAGCCGTAGCCTGTATGCTTGCTGATTCCACTTCCAGTCAGTAGGGCCGCACATAATTTGGTTCCTTAACTGTTATTGCAGAGCTAATCACTGAATGTTTTATTGTGTACTATAGGATCGCTGACCAATCACAGAGGTTCTTTGAGTGTTGAAGCGTAATGTGTAGGTGTCCCAATACTTTTGTCCATATTGTGTGTGTGTGTGTGTATACATATTTGATTTAAGATGGCAGGCTTTTTTTGTCACAGTTAGTGATGTGAGGTCCTTGATCTCAGCATGCTGTCCTTACCCTGAATTTTTGTGGGTTTTATAGATTTAGTGTGCAAAAAAAATCCATCTTAAGCTTTACATTTGCAGAAAGTCGTTTGGACTTGAACACAGCTATAAATTTTGGCCTTAGCAATGATGAGGGTCTCAGGGCCTAACGTTTGGCAGTGACAAACAGATTATTCTTGGACGAAAGCAGCCCACTGCAGCAGTCTTCTTCATCAAAGTATGCAACATGAACTTAATGTATTTCATAGTAATGTTCTTATAATAATAGTATATCACACTGTGGAATTTTTTGTTTTTTCTTTTTCTTACTTTCTATTCAAAATGCCTGTCACACAGAATTGTGCTTTTTTCCTTTAACCCCTTTTTATTTTTTACACACCACCTTTCCTTTACGTCATGTGAAAATTTCATGATGAATACACCAATAGAAATGTTATAAAATTGCTTGTAATGAAATATCTTTACATTAACTTACATTAAAAAGTAAGAGTGTTTTTGCCTTCTCCTGTAAAGTTACTGTTTTGGAGATAATTGATTTTCTTTGGACAGCAATGATATGAGGGTTAGGCCCGAAACATACTTCACGCAAGGACGCGAACGCAGACGCTTCGAGCTACGCAGACAGGGTTTCACACTTAGTTGCGTTCAAAAATGTGTTACGATGCATTTCATAATGCAGTGCAAGCGCAAGCTGCATTCTGAGCGTTACAGCAAGGGGCACTAAGACAACAGCCAAGTCAGACCAAGTTGTCTTGTACTGCCAGCGTACTTTCTCAACTGCCATAGCAGACGAGCAGTTGAGTCTCACGCAAAGATGCCATAAAAATATGATTAATTATTGCATTTCCATTCCAAGAGAAGAGGTAAAGCGGCTCACCCTCCTCTACTGCCCACGTTTAGCTGTTGAGGCTGTTGGAATAACAGTAGATCCCTCTCTGATTTGTACTCTATCGCTACCTTTAGTACTGAGTGTTTTAACCGCCACAGCAACGTAAGAATGCGCGGTGAGTTTGTACAGAAGGCCAAGCGTCTGCAGTGCGTTGGCCAAGTGCTGTCATTTGCGTTCGCGTCCTTGCGTAAAGTATGTTTCAGGCTTTAGGATTAGGTTTTGGGTTAAGGTTAGGGGTAGAATTAGGGTTGGGGTGAGGGTTAGGATTAGGATTAGGTTTTGGCTTGACCTTAAAGTTAAGGTTAGGATTAGGGTCAGGGTGAGGGTTAGGATTAGGTTTTGTCTTGAGGTTAAGGTTAGGGTTAGGATTAGGGTCAGGGTGAGGGTTAGGATTAGGTTTTGGCTTGAGGTTAAGGTTAGGATTAGGGTCAGAGTCAGGGTTAGGTTTTGCATAATGAAAGTAACATATTAACAATACATCTACTTAATGTAAGTAATGTATCAACAGAGCATCTACAAAATTTTAACTTCACTATATTCAGATGTTTCGCTACCACTACTTCACTGATATGTTGTTGATGTGTTACTGATAATCTGTTAAGAGTTTATTAATCATCTACAAAGAACCACTCAAAATAAAGCATTACCAGAAAGGTGATTTATATCAGGCAGTGTTTTTTGAAACTCAGTGTCTTCATCAGAATGTTTTTTATATTTGCTTTAAGATGAGAAAAAGCCGGCCAGTGAGGCTGTGGCCGAGTACTTGGAGAGCAAGAAGAAGTACGAGGAAATGAGGAAGCAGAAGCTGAAGAAGGGCTTGAGCCGAGAGGCGCAGGTAAACTCAGCTTAGAAGTCTGTGAAATACAATAGTAAGAGACCATTTTAGCCTTTCTCTAATGTTTTTTTTACAACAGTTAAAGCTGTAGCTCAGCCCTGTACTACTATTAATAAATGTTTACTGGTGATGACGTTTATCGTACAAGGGCTTAATCCGGTAATTTTTCTCTGGACCAAAATTATGTTGATGAGTTGTATAATTAGAACTTGGGACAGAATTAATGGATCTGTATTAATGGTCAACTACCTGCAGGCATTGGTCAGTACACAAGAACGGTAACTTTGTGGGTTTGTGAGAATTATGCACTATGTTTTTAGGTTTTGTAGAGCACTTTGGTGAAAATGTGTAAAGGCATGCAGCTAGCAGAAGAACATTTTGTAACATCAGTTTGATGGTGCTTTGGAGCCTGAGGGGATGAATCTGATGATTGCAAGCATGTTGAAAGAGTATTCAAAGAGAACTCCGTTAAAACTTCGTGAAGAATGTGTCTTCAGAGGATGTGAGTGAGTTATCTTCATCAGTATAAAGGTGATGTTGCATTTGAGACCTAAACATCGAGACAGACGTTCTTTTTGTGTATAGGTGTGTGTGAAATTAACATATGTATATACATATACATAATATATAATTAACACACATAATACATGTAAGACGTATGACGTGGTCTGAAAAACTCCTATGAAATCTGTCCTGACACCTCTGACTTTTAAATGATTATTTCAGGCTTTAAAGGGTGACAGCAGCCCATGCACACCTTATTTTAGCATGTTGTTTTTCTGACTTAGTAATGCTGCTTCCTTCAGTTTTAAGAAAAGTGTGCAGCTTGTTATCAAAGAACAGGTGAAAAATCTCAAATATAGTTCAGCCAAGTGTGAAGTGTCTGAACTTTGCGTCTTTAGTTTTGCTTTTGGGTTGCAGTGTCTGTATAATCACACTTTCCTCAAGCTGTGTCGAGCTGTTAAAGCTGCACTATGCAAGTTGTTTTGTTAAAATTGAAAGAAGTAGCATTACTAAGTCAGGAGGGGGAAAAACACACTAAAAAGTGATGTACATGTGCTGCTGTGAATCTCCCTGTAAAGCCTGCATAATATTGGATTTTGTTGAAGTTTTTCAGACCATGTCGTACATCTTTACGTATTAACATCATTCGCACACACTTAAAAATAAGGTCTAGCTCAATGTTTAGGTCTCAAATACAAAATCAGCATTATGCTGATGATGATATGATGACAATAGTAAATAATTTACTCACATCCTCAGAAAACATGTTCTCCACCATGTTTTGATTTCTTTTAAAGTACTTTTTCAGTACACAGTCGTTAGATTCATCCACTCAGGGAAGGGCTCTGAAGCACAGCCCACATTACAGAACGTTCTTCTGCATGTTGCATGCAATTACACACTTCCACCAGAGGTCTCCAAATCGCCAAATCTTACATAGTGCATAAATAAATAAATATTTTTTTCTTCAAGTTAACACTTTACTGGAGTCCTGCTACATATCGTTGTCGACAATGCCATAAACATGAGTTGTCATGACGGACTATATCTGGTAATGTAACATTTTCATTTTACTTTTACTGGCAATTGTCATGATAGATGTCATAATGTTTGATGTCATAACGGCTGTCACGACATTAAACATTATGACAACTGTTGTTACAGTTACCAGTAATAGTAACAAGATACTGTTATATTGATGAACAAAATTTGACAAAACCGCTCATCTCAGCCCAAGACATCTTCCATGACATGTTTATGGCATGGTTATGGCTGTGTTATGCAGCAGAGGTCAAGTAAAGTGTTACCTTTCTTTGTTTCTATGATTTCTCACACTGCAAAAATAGACAAGAAGTACAGACAAAATTTGCAGGCGTCTCCTTTGAAAAGCCAATGGCTAAACCTAACTGTCTGAATTCTGAAATCTTCTGCTGTTTTTAAGACACTTGCTCTTCTGGACCGCTTTAAGTCCAAGCTGTCAACAGCCATCTCTCAGGCGCCTGAGGTCGCTGAAGATGTGGAGGAACTGGGAGAGGATGATGACAAAGGATGGTGAGAAATGTTTATAATACGTTAAGACATTAAGTAAAAAGTTATAATACAGTTTTACTTTCATCATCCTCTTAGTAACATAAATGTCGAATAGACTTTAAGTTAAGAATCTGCACTTTCTACAGAATCTCTGCAAGTTTCATTGAGCTGGTGAAAAATAATTACTACATACAATTAGACATTGAATCTGTTACCACCAGCAACTTCTATGGGTTAAAGAGTGAAATAAAGCAAGTACTGTGCAATCCAGTGCGCTTAGGCCACACTTCACACTACAGAAATGTAACGGGTTCATGAATTTGCAATTGTCTGTGATCAGAATGTATATTTAATAATTCATGCCTCATGGATTTCTCCCACTACATGGCTACTGTTCCATGTGGCTCAGCTGCATGCGCCACATCTCTCTCTCTCTCTCTCTCTCTCTCTCTCTCTCTCTCTCTCTCTCTCTCTCTCTCTCTCTCTCTCTCTCTCACTCTCACTCTCACTCTCACTCTCGCCAAGTAACTCGTTTGGCTCCAGGCAGCGCTGACACCATTTAAACAGTATGCACTGTTTGTTTTTGCTGTGCACTTGTGGAGAAGTCATTCTCTCAGCTGACTTAACTGAGTAAATAGGCGGGCAGCAGACGGAGAGTCCAGATGGAGCACGTCACGCCCAGAGTGGCCCAGGCTGCCCGCTAACTGTCTTTATTAATAGACAGGATCCAAAGGAACCCGGCCTCTCTGATGGCTCTGATCACTAAACACAACGTGAACGGGACTGAGCAGAATGTGTTCAACAGAGCTTTCTTTTCTTTTCTTTTCTTTTCTTTTCTTTTCTTTCTAATGCCTTAATGTCTGTGTTTCACTGTCTCCCATCTCTCTCTGTCTCTTTTTCTATTTTTTCCTGTTTTTTTTTCATTTTTTTCTTCTTTGTTTATTTATTACTCCTTTTCTGTCTGTCTTTTTTTCTCTTTATCTCCCTCTGATTTTCTCTTATCCCCTCTGTCTCTTTACTTGTCCCTCCTTTTTTCACCTCTTTGTTTTTAAATTATTTTTCAGTTCCTCCTTTTTATCTCTCCTTTTCTTGTATTTTTTTCTCTTTTCCTGTCTTGCTCTTTCTCATTGTCTCGCTGTCCTCCTATTTCTTTCTTTCTCTCTTGTTCTCTTATTCTCGTTTGTTTCCTTCTCAATTCCTTCACAATCACCATTTCTCTCTCTCTCTCCCTCTTCTCCCTCCCTCCTCTCCCTCCTCTCCCACCTTCTCCCTCCCTCCTCTCCCTCCTCTCCCACCTTCTCTCCCTCCTTTCTCTCCCTCCTCTCTGTCCCCTCACTCCTTCCTTCTCATCTGTCTCCCTCCCCTCTCTGTCTCTCTCCCTCCCTCCCCTCTCTGTCTCTCTCCCTCCCTCCCCTTTCTGTCTCCCTCCCCTCCTCTCCCCTCTCTGTCTCTCTCCCCTAGTCTCTCTGTCCCCTCACTCCTTCCTTCTCATCTCTGTCTCCCTCACCTCTGTCTCCCTCCTCTCCCTCCCCTTATTGTCTTCCTCCTTTTCCTCCCCTCATTGTCTCCTTCCTCTCCCTCCCACCCTCACCAGTCTGTCTCCCTCCCCTCCCTCACCTCTGTCTCCCTCCCCTCCCTCCCCTCCCTCACTTCTCTGTCTCCCTCCCCTCTCTGTCTCCCTCTCTCCCCTCTCTGTCTCCCTCTCCCCTCTCTGTCTCTCTCCTCCACCCTCCCTCTCTCCCTTTCTCCCTCCTCTCCCTCTCTCCCTTTTCATCTACCTCTCTCCCTTCTCCTTTATCTCACTTGCTCTCTCTAACACTCTCTCTCCCCCTCTCTCTCTCTCTCTCTCTCTCTCTCTCTCTCTCTCTCTCTCTCTCAACTGCTGCTTGCAGACACGTGCTGGTTTGACTGGCGCAGCACTAATGAACTTCCACACTGTTTGTTTTCATAGTATCGCCGTCTCCTGCGGCTGCTGCGCGTCCTGTCTGACAGTGTGTGTAGAGCAGCAGAGAGCAGCCGTCTGCTCTCCACTGCATACATTCCTGTCCCTCCGCCTGCTACTACACGGAACGACAAAGACAAAAACGAAATAATTACTGTGTCAGAGCAGCGAGAGGACAGTAAATCACATCCACTCACTCGCAGACACACATACACACATACTCTGAGCAAATATTGAGTCTGCTGGGTCTCATTTCACACTTGGTTAAATATTAAGACTAAATACTGTGTATTTTTTGCTGTTCTAGATGTGTTTAGAGAGTGAATAGGAAAATTTAGCTAAATACTGAAATAAAAGAAAAGATGAGCTGTTTGTACTAAGATGTTCACATTGGCAGTAGATTGTGGTTTGTATCACGATTCTTCTAAATAGAATACTCTAGTGTTTTGTAACACCTTAAAATCCCAGGCTTATTACATACTTGAGCTTATTAATCAGTAAGTACACAGAAAACAGTGCAAACTGACTAACAGATTTTCTTAAGTTATAGAAATATTCAGTAAAAGTTTGGTTGCGCTGACAGGTCCTGGTCAAACTGATCTCTGTCTGCTACAATGTTAGCATACAGTTGATCACTCTGTACAGTAATTTCAATGTAAAACAACAGAAATCCACTTACACTTACATATATAATTATTTAAAATTATGTAATATACACTTATAATAAAAGCAATTGGACAGGTCAATAGGTTTTGCTTTTGTCTGAGAGTGTAGATTTAAATGCTAGCTAGTTGTAGCATGTTTTCAGTCGCGTTCTGATTGGCGCTTAAAACAAGTTGCATGATTCCATTAAAATGGACTGTTTTGCCTACATACAACCATAGAATGAAGAGTGAGACATCTTAGCTACTCCTGACATGAGCAAATGGACAGGAAATAATGTCACTAAATTCCAGTTAATATTAAAGCATTCTCAAGGCTTGTCTGTGTAGTTGCTCATGTGGTGGTCAGCACCCACTGAAGCTCCTCTTCTGTTTCATAGTGATCAACCAAATAAGACAGATAGATACATAGATAAGAGACAAGTTAGAAAAATGCTGGAGTGTTCCTTTAACATCCACAGCCTGTTTATACCTTACACCAACATTTGTTTTCGGTGATCAGATCATGTTCAGATTTCACTTCACTGCATGAAAAGCCATGTGTTAACACGTCCAGGATGAATTGTGATCAGATTACAGTCAGTTCACCCAACACATTCAGAGGTGACCACATTCAATGCAAGCATAAGTGGAATTTCAGTATCCACATACAATTACATAACTCTTAACCTCTTTCCACTCCTCTGGACAGAACTGGACAGCTGGACAGTGGACCACTTCAGAAATCACAACAGCTGCAAGACAAAGCCTTCTCCTCTGCTCATGCAGATTATTTTTTGCCTGTTTTACACGACTTCTTCTGATATTCGAGATTGTATAGTACACTGGTAGAAACGAATGAGAAATCATCTTTACAGTAGGTTAGTAGAAGATACACCGATCAGGTATAACATTATGACCACCTCCTTGTTTCTGCGCTCATTGTCCATTTTATCAGCTCCACTTACTATATAGGTGCACTTTGTTGTTCTACAATTACAGACTGTAGTCCATCTGTTTCTCTGCATACTTTCTTAGCCCCCTTTTACCCTGTTCTTCAGTTGTCAGGACCCCCATGGACCCTCACAGAGCAGGTACTATTTGGGTGGTGGATCATTCTCACCACTGCAGTAACACTGACGTGGTGGTAGTGTGTTAGCGTGTGTTGTGCTCGTACGAGTGGATCAGACACAGCAGTGCTGCTGAGTTTTTAAACACTGTGTCCACTCACTGTCCACTCTATTAGACACTCCTACCTTGTCAAGTCCACCTGGTAGATGTAGAGTTAGAGACGATAGCTCATCTTCTGCTGCAGAGTTTGTGTTGGTCATCCTCTAGTCTTTCATCAGTGGTCACAGGACGCTGCCCACAGGACGTTGTTGGCTGGATATTTTTGTTTGGTGGACTATTCTCAGTCCAGCAGTGACACTGAGGTGTTTAAAAACTTCAGCAGCACTGCTGTGTCTGATCCACTCAGACCAGCGCAACACACACTAACACACCAGCACCACATCAGTGTTACTGCAGTGCTGAGAAGGATCCACCACCCAAATAGTACCTTCTCTATGATGGTCCGTGGGGGGGAGCTGATAAAATGGACAGTGAGCGTAGAAACAAGGAGGTGGTCATAATGATATTCCTGATCGGTGTATACACACAATGTATGTGTTAATGTGCTTTTTATGCGGTAAAGTAAAATCAAATCTTACCTGGACACCCTGGAGGCACATTTAATTGAAAAGTGTAAATGGAATCCATCCAAAGTAAATCCAGATACTATTCAGGCATAAAAAAACCTATACATGCAAAGTGTAATCAGACTTTGCCATATTTACATATGATAAAAGTTTGTAAGTCCAGGAGGCTTGAGTTTTACTTGGTTCACCTGTTTTTCTAAACCTGTGCCTATATACTGGGCAAATACAAGTTGTTTGCTTATTGAGATGTATGCCAGCTCATGGTATCTTCTTGTAGGCATAAGGATAATTAGCAAATTGTTTTGCCTTTTGCACATTTATAGGCTGCGTTGTCAAATATATATTTTTAATCTGATGAACTCCTCAGCTGTCTTGCGAACAGACATTTCTAAGAGTCACTGATTTATATCCAAAGCTGTGCTGAGCCAATGCCTCTCTCAGAGCCCTCCTGGTGTTTCCAGAAGATTACGGGAAGCAGGCTGGCAAATCATTCTTGCTTTGTCAGTCGCAGTTAAAACATATAGCTTTAGTGGTTGGAATGGCTTGCTTTTTTTGAGTCCTGCCTAACTATATGCCCAATCCATAGATACAGTCCATTGAAAGTCTTGAGTATTTTTTTTCAACCAGTAGAAATATTTGAAGTAGGTTTGTGGCTTAGAGTTTGGATTTAAGTTGTGTGTAGAGTAATGGCTTCTTGGCTGTTTGGAAGAAGTCTGCTGTTGTAATTTCTATTTAAACAGA